CTTCCTCAGAGTTGTTCGCCCGAAATGAGTCCACCGAACATAAGCAGTTCAAATGTTTCTGTAGGTATCTGGAAACCTCATGCTTTCACGTACAGTGAGTGCTCAACTGTCTCGTCTATAACGACGCAGCGTCGTGTGCGGAACAGCACGAGCGACATCTGCAGCCGGAAATACGCCAAAGTGAGCATGCGCGGTGCTGGTGATGTGCCTATCTTGCAGTTTCGAACCTTTCATATCCGTGGCCGCAGTGACTGCTTTGGTCGTCGAGGCACTGTAAATATTATAGAACTGAAAAAAAAGAAGAAAAAAGCCAGTGATTGTCCGGATAGGTGCCTTTTATACTGAAAACTTATTTTCGCTTTGTGATATATCACAGTGAGAGCAGTTTGCTTCGTTCTTTTGTTTGCTTCGAGCTTTTTCGCTAAATCGTTCGGACTGCTATCGACGGTCAAAGCGGACGTTGCATGCGACGTGATGAAGAGGGATCAGCATTGCAAGGCAGGCACATCACTATTGCCGCGCATAGTCAAATGTGGCGTATTTGCGACTGCAGATGTCGCTCGTGCTGTTCCGCACGCGACGCTGCATCATTATAGACATGAGAGTTGAGTACATCGCTCAAAATTTGAGGAGGAATGGTTCGTCCTGTTTGGGGAAAAAGATTTACTGGTTTTTAAGTTCACAGGGAGTACCCACATATTTCTTCATGCCGCGTTGCTTATCTCGTTATTCGGGCGCTTCGTTCATCGTGTGCTTCGACCGCAAATTTTTTAAAAGTTACAATGGTTCAAAAGTGAACAAACATACCTTCTCTCGCTGCCGCGCCGGCGTTTACAAAATGAGCACGCTGCTCACACACAATATAACTGACAGGTCCTCGCACTCCTCCTATGGATAATTGTGCGTTCTTTTCATTCTTCTTTCTTTGTAGCTGTGACGTTTGAGCGCACTAGCCCTGTGTATGCTCCTTTCACGAGTGCTTTCCGCTTTAGGTGCACACTGCAAGTTACACGCATCTTGCCGTTCTTAGCGTAACATCATGCTTTTTTGCTGTAGCATTCATTCCTTCATCTTTGTTTTGAAACCATTCACAGTAAGCTATCAAATGCCTCTGTGAACGCACGGCCCCTTCCTGTTGTACAGATTTCTAAACAGATGGATGAGCCACGTTTTCCTTCTTTCTCCGCAGTTTATCACTGGGTAGATTACCAGCTCACGAAGCGCTCATTTCTTCCTAGTTAACAATGGAGACCTGGAGCTTTCTGCTCGGGACTTTCGAACAGACCTTTACAAGGAAGGAAGGAAGACAAAAGGAAGAAAGACAGAGAGGTTGACCTGAAAAACATCCGGTTGGCTACTCTGTAGAGTAGGTAACCAGATTATAATCTGGGGGATAAGGGAAGGTGCCAAGAAGGATGAAAAAGTGGGAAGAGAAGTAAAAGAAGTAGAGGAGAGAGAGACAGTAAATTTACTGCAACGTGCGGAAGTGCACCTCAAGTCAGAGGTGTTCACACATACACAAACTCGTCTTCCTCAAAAAACACAAGAGGGCTTTCACTGCTGCGTGGGCTCTCGGGGGATGCGAACGGTGCTGTAATAGCACCTGTGCAGAAAGAGGCCGGTCATCCAGTTGCTGCAATGCATTGGCAAATACATGTCTCTCTGAGGCAAATCGAGGACAGTGGCACATCTGTTGTTCAACAGTGTCATCGGTGCCACAAACATCGCATGCCCAACTGTCAGTAATTTCGATTAACGTGGTATAAGCTTTCGTGAACCCGCACAATATGAGTGACAGAACACAAGGTAGAAAAAGCGGCATCACTTTCACATGACGTGTCACCGTGACGCATAACATGTTAACGAGCCAGTTGGTCCTTGGAGAGTGAGAAAATACTTTATTGAACATAATGGGCCCGTGATTCGGTTTCGGTGGCTTTAGGTGGTGGCTCGTAGTCCCTGGACTCGGGCGGAATCTCGGCCTGCCGGACGGCCCAAAGCTGGTCGTTCAGCTCTGGGCTTTGGAGGGCCGCCTCCCAGTGGCGGCGACGCTTACAAAGAAGGTCCTCCACGGCTCCAGCAGCCGGGGCGGCGGCAGGAACGAGTGAGATTGAGGGTCCCTGTGATTTGGTATATTGACGGCAACTATAGGCGCATAGCGATTGGCGGCGTTTGCACGACTGTTGACGCTGGCCCATTCCCAGAGCATGTGGCTCAGCGTTGTTCTCTGCCCGCACGCTTTACACATATTGGTGGGGTATAGGTTCGGGTAGAGGTTGCGTAGAACGACCGGACTAGGGTAGAAGTGGGTTTGGAGTACGGCATCACGCCTGTTCAATTTCTTGTGCGGTATCGGGAACCTCCGGCTTTCAAGTTATAGTGTTGGGTGATGTCACGGAACATTCTTTAGCTGCGTGCCTATCAAAGTGCCTTGATCCAGTAGACGCATCGCCCCGCTCTCGGAGTCAGAGACGGTGGCCACGTAGTGGGCCGCGGCTCGGCGAGTGAGACCTCGAGCCATGGCGTGGGCTGCCTCGTTCCCCGCGAGTGGAATGCTAGTGTGTGACGGGGTCCCTTGGAGGAAAAGCGTAGGAATTAGGGGTTGTGAGCGCGACGTCGAGTCGTCGTCTCCGCACATTTGAAGGATGCGCACCGCTTCTCGCGAGACACGGCCTGCGCGCAAAGCTGTGGACTGCCGCCTGCGTACACGCCTTTATCATTAGCCGCATAACGTGTGCTCTCCCGCACCAACTCACACGCAGATGGGAATAGTTGGCCAACACACTCATACGCATTGCCTACAAAACTGCATTGGGCCTCCCCGACGGCATTGACACAGAGCGTGTGGTATGCTTGGGTGTATATATAGCATATGGCGAACACGCCGCAGCCATATTGATCGCGCAGATCGAGACTGAACTCGACGATGCAAGGCAGACTATTGCTAAAGAGGCTTCACTACCCTTTGTCACCACAGTTATGTGGTGAGGAGACGCATAAAATACCCTGAGAAGACACATAACACATATACGCTGTCCCTGTCCCGAGAAACATGCACCCCAATATCAATGCCGGCCACAGACGAGCAAGGGCAGCGGAACTAGAACAGCTGCGAAATGACCCCAACACTTACTCTACAGACTCCAGTTCATATCAAACGAGGCAAAACGCATTTGCTGCAGTCGTTACAAACCAAAGCCAAGCGATCACTTCGGCGGCGATACGTACGGAAAGCACGGCTGTAGCAGAAGCTGCAGTGATAGCACTTGCCATCCGTGCAGGAGAGTGTAAGAGACAGCTTGCGCACGTTCTCAGATTCCCAAGAGGCTTGCCGACGGTTTCTCAAAGAAACGAACGGGCAGACCGCATGACTCGAGCATTAACTTTTCGAGCCGCGGACATACTTACCCGGGCGGATTACTTCACACTTGCGCTGCCTCGAGATATCCTTGAGAGCCAAAGACTGGCTCGGCAGACGATGGCACCACCCCACCGTAAACTCACTTGCTGGCGATCCAGGAATCGGAGACTAATACAGACGAACACATATCCCAACATACACACACTTAGCCGAATTCGGCCATCCCAATTTGATGACTGCTGCCCTTGGTGCAGTGACACATCGACGCTACAGCACATAACTTGAACTTGCCAACAAAGACCAGCAGAGGGCAACTTACCTCTCATCACACAAAACGAATTTAAAAGGTCGTGGGAGGTGGGACTCCCCCGACAGGACCTGGGAAGCCAGAGGGCAACCTTGGACCAGGCCGAGCGAGCCGCTCAGGCCACTTGGGCCCTGGAATAAGGGCTCCACCCAAGGAAACCTTGTTATGCCGTTTCATTAAATATCTATTCCTCTTCCTCCGCCTGGGAGCCACTTATCACATTCCTGCATGCGGCACTGCAGCGAGTACTAAGGCCATCGCGGTTTCTTCGGCCGCCTACGTGAAAAAGCAATATACTAAAGGAAAAGCAAATTAGACACGTAGTTGCCGAGGATCACGCTTGTACACGGAAATGACACAAATAATGTTTGGGAAGTAGGCACATACAAAAAAAATATTCGGTAGCGGAAAATATACAGAGCACTCGGCATGCGCTCCTCATGATCGTGGGTGGGTGCAAACACAATACGCGGCTCTTCCCAACAAGTCCTTCGCAGCATTTTCTCCATCCAAGACCCATTCGCAACCTATGTCTCTTTTGTTATGTTGTGCTAATTAGTGGGGGAAATAGGTGCAAGGCAGTGGCTCAATGTACCTGATCGATACGTATCTGACCATGTTACACCCCAAGTGTAAAAATTGACAATACGGGAAAGGCGATATGTTGGTAGTTTAGTATAATAAATCACCGCGCTGACATAAGTGCCACAAATATTTACCATTTTTAAGGGTGAAGCTCTTTTAGGCAGAGCCTTGTTGGCGTCTGTAACGCTCCACCAAACAAAAACTTAACACTTGAACTGCGGAAAACGAACATTTCTGTGTTAAGACGGACTTTTTGTGAACATCAACGAGGTGTATGACAGCACAGCATATGATTATTTGCGCCGTCCATCTGTCCGTTCATTCATGTGTGCGTCAATTCATTTATCTGCCCGTTAGTCTATCCGTGCGTCGATCCAACTATATCCATCCACGCTTCTGTGCGTGCGTATGTCCATCCGTCCGCCCATCTTTCTGTCAATTGTACTAATCAGTCAGTGACTTCATTGTACACTTAATGCACCTCAGGACCGAAATTCTCCCACACATCGTATATATAGTGCAGATGCGTAGACTTCATTTCACTCGCAGTCATATCAATAAGTTCACTCAAATCTTCACCTAACGTGCAGGAGCGAAAGTTTTTTTTTATGTGCAGGGGTCCACACAGCATTGCTCTGATGTTTTGCCCCTGTTAGGCCTACCGAGCGACCATACTTCGCTTTCTTTTGCTGCAGAATATTATCTGTATAAAAAACAAGCGATCTTTCTTTTTCCGTGCTTATTCAGATACATGTAAATGAAGGCATGGCTCAAGGCGTCACCTTCGATCGCTTCTCGGTTCCACACCTGGCCCTGGCCCGACGAGAGGTGATCCTTTCAGCTGGTGCCATTGGTTCCCCACAGCTTCTGATGCTCTCGGGCATCGGACCAGCTAAACATCTCTCCGACGTTGGGGTGAGCACCTTCAGCGCGCTCTACCGAGCGACGTACCTTCTTGCGCTCAGTTGCATACAGTCCAAGCCATAGAAATGTCACATCACCATTCATGACATAGATTTCAAAAGTTGCGACTATAGGTAACCGCACCTATGAAAGGGGTCATCACAAGGTCACCCAAGTATTTGTTTTTTTCAGAGAAAACTACAAGTTGACTAGAGAATCTATTACACCTATACGGATATAAAAAGTGGGCCGTAAAAAAGGATTTCCAGCGCAAAACAAGCTCTAGAAGTTACCAGCAGTACACTCCGCCCACTGCCAGACGGAGTGTACGATGTCATGGGCTTGGGTTTGATTTGATTTGATTCCTTTAAACTATGGCACGTACCCACTCGGAGTGCTGCCGTCGTTTTATACCAATCCTTCAGCTAGTGCAAATCTGAGAATGCATGTGACAGAAGTCGTTTTGATGCTTACAACATTACCTGCATCATTTTTTTTTCAATTCAATAAAAGTATTTTATTCCCTTATTCCTTGAGATACATGTATTAATTGCTTCGTTCGGGTACCAGAGAACAAAGGTGTACCTCCCAATTGATATGCGGATGCACTCGCACTTACATCTCATAATGCTACTATAGTGTCTATTTCGCCGGCGTTGGCATTTGTTAGTGCAGTGCGATTTGAAAAATTTGCCTCGACAGACAACTTTGCTAAGCCCACGTTGTCAGCCTCCGAGTTCACTCACCTCTATTATCAATAAAAAATTGATGCTCTTCCTCTAGAAGAGCCGAGGTCTCTTACCAGAATACGCTACCAAGTCCCCCCACTGAAACTTTACCTGAACACGTCTGGTCTGGTGCAGTCATCTTTGAGAGTGAATGAGAGTGAATCTCTGGATCAATTCTTTTTAACGTGCGCATTATTCATCAGTCAAAGAAAAAGGCTTTTTGACGAACCGCTTCGAAAGTTGACATCAAATTTATCACTTCCGGTTCTTCCCTTTGGGGTTACCGTGCTAAGTTTTAGCCACAAGAGCGCTTGCAAGGTCGTAGGCGATTTCCTACGAGAGACGAGATGAACTGAACGCTAAGTTCATCAAATTCCAATACTATTTTTTCACAAATAACTCATATTCTCCTATTTATTAGAATAAATTTACTTTGAAGGTTATCAAAATCAAAGATTCGTCAAAACTATAACTCCTTTTTATTGGGAAATTATCTAAAAAATAATTTTAAACCTACCTATCACACACCATTTAAAATTTAGAACAAATTTTTTTATGTAGCAAGGCACCGCTCGTTTCATGGCCGATCCTCCATGGTGAGTTGCGCCAGGATAAGGGGGCGAACAAATAAATCATTCAATGTCAATGGCAAGCTGAAGAAAAAGTTTTCGCGCGCACCTGACCACAGAAGAATATTAGTTCCGTTCGATTCGCCTGCACCACGTGAACCAGTTCATGGGGTGCTGCACTTTGCCATTCGTTTCAGTGGTGCAGCATCGACGACCTCTGAATTCTGTCGTTCGTTTCAAAAGGTGCAGAAGAGGTGCAGCACTGGTTCACGATTTTCGTGCACCACCTACTATGATGGTGCCGGCTTGGTGCAGCCGTGCATGCAGCTGAGCAGACGACGCAGCACTTGGGCGTATGCGCCGTATCTGCCTCTACCAACGCTGTGTGTTTTCTCAAGATGTTTGCGCCTCATAAATTGTCCGCATGTGCGGTTCGTCATCGTTCAGTGTTAGCTGAACGGTGTAAATTAAGCGAAAAGAAATAAGGCCTGCACCTTGTCGGCATATCGTCATTCGTTTCGGGTGTAGTGCTGCGCCTGCACCGTTGAACTCACGCTGCACAATTCCTGAACTTCGCGTGCACAGCCGTGAACCAGTTCCGACTGGTGCAGATGAATCGAACGGACCTATAGTTCGCTGGAGTCGAAGCGCTCGCACAGCTAGTTGCTTTTTAAGCCACGGCTCGTGAGTGTGCCAGTGTCTCTCGGCTGTTGCGTTTGTAAAGGTATTTTATTATCGAATTTTCGACCGATTGCGCAAAAAATGTGGCCCAGCTTGTAAGTGAATGCAGAAAACACACATGACACATTATCGTTGAAACCATTATAACGAGGTCCCGTGGTCATAGCTGTGATTTTATTTCATAAAGGCTAGTCCCGCATTTTAACTTCCTTCTTTTTCTTGGTCTCTCGCACCTCCCCCGAAGCTAATGGCCCCACATTTTCATTTGCGACATCCTCCGAGGGCGAGGGAACGCTGTTGCTTACAACATGTACGCCGTTTGTACCATCTGGCCCACCACGTGGTCAGTTGCAAAACGCACGGAGCAGGCTCTGACCACTTCGCCTGGGCCCTGATACAGCTCGTCGCTAGGAAGGTGTTCTGTGTCGAGTTATTGCGCATCTGAGATAAGTCTGAGATGAAGCCTACAGATATGACATGTGAAGGATGGCCGCACTTCCACCTCTGTCATTTGCATATCGGTGTGGCGTTGCTGGTGTACTCTGCACTCAGGTTCTCCTGTAGACGGCTTTTCCGAGCCTTCTGCATGAAGTGCGTGGATGCCTGCAGCGACGTGTGCGTGGATGCCTGCAGCGACTCCATGGGAACTTCGGTTTTATCAACTGCAGGGCCCCACCTATAAACAGAGATCGCACCAGCCTCTGCAAACATCTAAAATACCTCCGACAGAGTCGAGTCATGGTAATCTCAGCACCTCGCTCAAGCACTTTCACGCATGCCAAGTGAGAAGGGATGTATGCGCTCCCCGGGGATAGGCCGAACATGGAACACTTCAGGAGGTCTTGAACACAAAACTGGCCTGACGAGAAACAGAGGATACCATTCTTGCCGAACTGTCGGACCACTGAGATACTCTGGAAATGAGCTGTGGCTGCTCGCAGCTCCGTTTGTATTACTTTCAAACTCTTCATACGTATGGTACCATCATTGGTTCAGACCAAGGCTACAGGAACCGAGGAGATAATGTTTCGCAAGAACAGGTCCACTGGGGTCTCCTGCCATAGAAGAAAAGTGAACCATAGGAAAGCCCCTTGTCCAGGTGAGCAAAAAGGCATACCTGATCTTAAAAGTGCAAAAACACTCAATGATTATACCGCTGCAATATACTGGACAATAATGAAATTCCGCTACAGACACGCAAACTCCGGCGACCACCCCATAATCTAGATTAACGCACGGTGCGTCACGCAGCACGTATGTCTGGGCCAGCTGATGATGATGATGATGATGATGATGATGATCCTTGCATTACTGGTGCACACGCACAAAGGGGGATTGGCCAAGAACTGGCAAGCGGGATCTTTAGGTTAAAGGCTTATGGTTTAACAAACACAAAATAGGTTTTGACCTAAAGACGGTTATATATATATATATATATATATATATATATATAGTGGGAGTAATAATTCAATGGGCCCGTTAGTCTTCTTCAAGGTATGGGATATGGCACAACGGGAGCGTTGTCAACAAGGATAAATATATTTATTTCCCAACAGTTTCGGGAGGGGTCCTCCCTTCACCAGGGGATGATCCCCTGATGAAGGGAGGACCCCTCCTGAAATTGTTGGGAAATATATTTATCATTGTTGACAACGCTCACGTTGTGCCATATCTCATACCTTCAATATATATATATATATATATATATATATATATATATATATATATATATATATATATATATATATATATATATAAAGGAAAGCCAATAATCAAAAAACGAGTATATCTGAGCAAGAATAGAGGCTATCAGATGTAATGTGAGACGGAGGTAGTGATGGGTCCAAAACGAGTGGTATAAGTAAAAAAATAAAAAATGTACACTAACAAAGCAATCCTTTTGTCTCAATATGTAGTCAAATACCACACAGCAGACGTCCCTGTGGCTACAACCTAATTTAATGGTGCCAAACAATAAAATTACCGCCACGTTTACTTCTAATCCTAATTTTTCTAGTGGAGCTACCAGGTATATTTTCCGCTGATAAGAATATCGGCGACAAAATAAAAATTATCTATTGTTTTTGTTTCCATCTCTTCGCAAACCTGACATCACGTTGACGCCTATAAACGAGGTTTATGTGAATGATATGGCTGTGGAATTCTGCAAAGCAATCAGGTATAAGCAACTTCTGATTGCCGTGTTGCGCACCACTGTCTATTCCAGCAGCATCTTGCCCCGCCACGGTGGTATAGTGGCTAAGGTACTTGGCTGCTGACCCGCAGGTCGCGGGATCAAATCCCGGCTGTGGCGGCTGCATTTCCGATGGAGGCGGAAATGTTGTAGGCCCGTGTACTCAGATTTGGCTGCACGTTAAAGAACCCCAGGTGGTCAAAATTTCCGGAGCTCTCCACTACGGCGTCTCTCATAACCAAACATTGGTTTTGGGACGTTAAACCCCACAAATAAATCAATCTATCAATCCAGCAGCATCTTACATGTGCGAAATCTCGACATTTAACTAATGAGGAGTTTATTTCATTATGCAAATAAAGATTTCCAAACCCTATTGTTGTCGCGTAAGCTGTATCAGGCAAAATCAGGATAAGGGGACCGCTAAGAGATACTGTGGCTAGTGCATCCGCCATCTCATTGATATATATGCCACGATACTTTGGCACCCATAACTAAAGTTTTTGCAAGTTTTTCAGTATGAGTTGTCGAAGCATATGCATAAGTGTTAAGTTGGCTCCCGAAGACAGAGCAGCACATACTGAAAAAGAACCTGTAATTACGAGTGTTTCTCATTCGCCCGAAGGAAGTTTTTGCAGTACCACTGCATTAGCAAATAATTCTGCTATGAATGTTGGTGTGTAATCCGGAAGCCTAACCGAGAACGACCTGTCAAGGGAATGCGAGAAGATATCAATCCCCGTCTTTTCATTTCATACGGATACATCAGTCGCAATTATTTTGTTCATGTTCACGGATGTCAAGTAATCATGTAGTCAATCATTTAAGTAGTGGAATATC